TCTTTAGCCATCAGCTGGACTGGCAAAGGATTCCAGCTTCCACTAGACTAGCAAAAAGACTCCTCAGGGAGTCTGCTTTAGGTCTTTTCCAAAAGATCCCTTATCCCTCTTAAAATAAGGGATCTTTCAGAAAAGGCTTTATTTTACAAAAGATCCACATCTAGACTGGCGCTTTTTTCCAGCAAAGCTCCATGCCAAAAAAAAAAAAGCAGCAGCCATTTTTATGCTAATGAAGCAGGGAAGATTTAAATCCCTGCTTCATTAGCAATTGCAATACATCTAATTTGCCTCCCTTTTATGAAAAAGGAATGCAATCTAGACATGGTCAGGGGAAAAGGGGTAGGTTGGGCCAGTCTTACAACTCACACCTAGCAGGTGGGAAGCAGGCTGACTCAAGCCCTTTAACCCTTCCCCTCAGCTTAGTTCACTCAACTCTGGAAGGAGGGAGGCTTGTTCCTCAGAGACCTCTTACCATGATGGTGGTGTCTCTCCTGCAAGCACTGGTGGCATGTTTTACACTTCCCACATTTGGAGGTAGTATGATTTGTGATCCCCACAACAGCCCCAAATTATTTACAATACACCACATTCCATTCCAACACTGATCCTCCATCAGCCCTGGCTGAATTTGATTTACATAGCCACACCCCGTATTCCCTCCCTCTCCTGGTATGAGCTGTATTTACATATCAACAGTTAACAGTTAATTATCTTGCAGAGCTAAACAATTGTAGTAGGCACACCCACCCCAGGGCAGCTCTCTCCTTTTAGCTGGCTGATAGCAAGCAGCAGTTCAGCCCCTGCTTACACATGTATCGCCCATCCACCCAAACCCTTATCCAACACAATACTCAGGAAAGCCTTCTGCCCACATATTGTTAATTCCTGCAGTGTCGTATCCCTTTGTTTTAGATAGGGGTTGCTATAATGGAGCTAACAAGTTTTGTACAGCTATATTAAATGAAGGATGACAATCACACCTCCAGTTTCAATACCATTCCACCCAACCCACAACAATATCAGCGTGATGGAGTAATTGTCAGAACAGGTAATACTTCCAACACCATTGTACATAGTGTTGTGTGGGGAATAGTTTTCAAGTCCCATGAGAATTTTCAACATTTCACCATTTTTCTTGTCTGGAATCAGGAAAAGTTCAAATTGAAAAAAAAAAAAGGTGCCAAATGAGAAAATCTGAAAATATTTTTGGTTTGGGTCAACTGAAATATTTCTTTTGAGCAATGGTGTTCCTGTATCCTCAAAGTCTGACACACACTGAAGGTATGTCTACACTACAGCGATATTTCAAAATATCTAATTTCGAAATAGTTATTTTGAAATATCTTATTTCCAAATAACGCATCTACACATGAAATGAATTTCAAAATAGTTTTTTGCTATTTGGAAATAGTGCGTCCACACTGATTGGAGCTGAATCGCATTTAAGGCCAGCCAGAACCGATTCTGGCAGGGTATCAGGTCAAAAGTTACCTTGTGGCCAGGGCAGCCAGCAAGGCACCCTGAAGGCCCTCTATTTCAAAATAAGTGTCTACACAGCGCTTATTTCGAAATAGCAATTTTGAAATTGGTAAACCTCATTCCACGAGGAATAGCACCAATTGCGAAATAAGCCCTCCTTATTTCAAATTAATTTCAAAATAGCAGTTGGCTTGTGTAGACACTAGGAAAGTTATTTCGAAATAACAGCTGTTATTTTGAAATAACTTTGCTGTGTAGACATACCCTTAGATATAAATCTTAACAAAAACTACCTGAGAAAGCATGTACCAATAGCTGCAAGGCAAGGTTTTCTATGTTGCTTTAAAAGCAGAAGAATGGCTGTGGGAATAAAACATGGCTCAGAATGTGATGATGTCAGAGAGGGGAAAAAACCTACAAGAAGTTAAAGCTCTATTTTGCGAAATAAGCCCTCCTTATTTCAAATTAATTTCAAAATAGCAGTTGGCTTGTGTAGACACTAGGAAAGTTATTTCGAAATAACAGCTGTTATTTTGAAATAACTTTGCTGTGTAGACATACCCTTAGATATAAATCTTAACAAAAACTACCTGAGAAAGCATGTACCAATAGCTGCAAGGCAAGGTTTTCTATGTTGCTTTAAAAGCAGAAGAATGGCTGTGGGAATAAAACATGGCTCAGAATGTGATGATGTCAGAGAGGGGAAAAAACCTACAAGAAGTTAAAGCTCTATTTTTGGCATGTCCTGTGTAATGTCACTGACAATATAAATGTAGCACAGATGATGTCAGGATAACATTAAAGTAAGTTTGTTCACAGAATGATTATAACATTTCTGGTTTGGGAATTCAGAACACTAGTGAGTCACTGAGGAAAAAAAAAGATGGGATTAAATAAAGGGAAATGTCCTTTCTTATATTTCTTAGTAATTTAATGTGGGATGATACAATAACCCCAGAGTATAAACCACTGCAAACTCTAAAAGGGAAAAATTAGAATTGTTTATACAGCAAACCCCTATTTATGTTGAATTCCTTTTTGGTATTTTTTCTTTAAATTCCTCTGTGAGAGAAGAGCATATGTCCTCTGATATAAATCTATGAAAAAAGGGGAAAAATCCATCAAGCAGAGAACATAAAGTACTACATACTTAAATCATTTTGGACTAGGTCCAAGAAAAATCTTCTTGTCTTCATATTCTGAAGCCCATATAAAGTCATGAAACCTCCCCATCCCCTAGTAAAAAAAAAAAAGTTTCAGGGTTTTTTGGGGGGGTGAAGAGAGGATGTATCTTGGTTTCTGCAGCTTGGAAACAAACAGCATTTTTATTTTTATTGAATTAGGCATGTATCTTGAAATTCTAAATGAATATTTAGAAAGACATATATACAGGCAGTCCCCGGGTTATGTACAAGATAGGGACTGTAGGTTTGTTCTTAAGTTGAATTTGTATGTAAGTCGGAACTGGTACATATTGTAGGGGAAACTCTAGCCAAACATTTCTCCAGAGCTCAGTTTTATTCTCCCATACCTCACTTCCCTCAGTCCTTTAGTCTCAAGCTGAGGTGTCTGCTGAGAAAAGCCGCTCCGCGTCTCCCTGGTCTGCTGGGGGGAAGCAGCTAGTGCGGGGTTGCCTCACCCCATTTGTAAGTAGGGATCCGATGTAAGTCGGATCCATGTAACCCGGGGACTGCCTGTAATACAGTTTAGATCATTTTACACTCTCTTGACCTGTTTGCCACAATGCCTAAAAACAAACTTGAGAATGGCTAGGCTGTTGGTTTCCTGCAACCATGGTCAATCATGCTGACTCAGTATTGTTTCCTTGTATATTCCCACACCTCTCTTTTGGTGTACATCTGTCTTGTTCTCTTTATACTTAAACGATAAAATCATTGGGGAGCAGGGACAATCTTTTGGTTCTGTGTTTGTAAAATACCTAACACAACAGGATCCTGGTGGTAGTAATAATAATGCATAATAAAATATTAATATAATGGAGACAGTTAAACATTTGTATTGTATATGGTTGTTCAAAGTCATACAGGGGAATGCATCATGAATGGTGTAAGGTACAGGTATACCGATTTTTGCAGATAAGACTGTGTCCACATATACTACAGGTTGAGCCTTTTAAGACCAGAACTCTCTGGTCCAGAAATGTCCATTGTCCGGAATGATTTATACTTAAACGATAAAATCATTGGGGAGCAGGGACAATCTTTTGGTTCTGTGTTTGTAAAATACCTAACACAACAGGATCCTGGTGGTAGTAATAATAATGCATAATAAAATATTAATATACCGATTTTTGCAGATAAGACTGTGTCCACATATACTACAGGTTGAGCCTTTTAAGACCAGAACTCTCTGGTCCAGAAATGTCCATTGTCCGGAATGATTTTAGTTAGCCGGATGTCCACTTTTCCTGGGAGCAGCCAAGTTTCCCACGGTCCCATAAAGTTTGTTTACAGCCACTAATCCTAGCTCTCAATGTTCCCTGCTCTTGTTTAGCTCTAATTTACCCCTAAATGTCCTTTAACAAGCAGTGAAAGTGTTGGTAATGCTGCTAGACAATATTGACTTCCCCTCGTCTGGAAAATTCTCTCATTGGGAACTGGTCAAGTTCTGAGGGTGCCAGATTAGAGAGATTCGGCCTGTACCACACAGTGTGAAAATGAGGTTGATAAGAACAAGGTACATGAAACCCCTCATAAATGCTGTTTGCATTGCAAACCTGTCCCTATGGAATTGTTTTTTCTTATTTGTGTTGTATATGATTGATCTGAAATGCTTGAACAATGACACTATATGCCTAATTACTTGAGTACTTTGGCTGATTTTAAAGGCTACCTGGGAACACAGATGCATAATTCCCATTGACATTAATAAGAATTGTGTGTATAAATGCCTATGTGGCCTTGAAATCTCACCGTTTATGCTAAAGATAATACACTTGCTTTTCTGTCTGGCAGTTCCTTTCCTTAACTATAGAGTTTGTTTTCTGTTCTGTTTCATGTTTTAGCTTCTGTGAGTAAAGCTACTTTTGCCCTGTTCCCCTGAGCTGTGCCAGACACATTTGAGGCACAGTATCAGGATGTTTAATTTCTCCCAAATTCCCACAAAATAAGTAACCATGTACTTATGAAAAGCAAAGTCTGCACAGAGCAGAATCAAATAATTGCACGGGTCTTTAGGGACCACATTCTCATCCAAATTAGTTTTCACTTTTTATCTCGGATCTTACATCTGTTGAACTATTTTTTTCTATTATGGCTTTGGAGATTTTCCATTAACTGTAAGTTACAGACTGTATGATGAGGTCACTATTTACTTTGAATGACTCCTTTATTGAAAAAAGCTAAAACAATAGAACATTCAGTGAGCACTGCATGTAATATGCTATTAAATGAATCATATCACAGCTGTGAAGAGGGGTAGCCTTGTCACCATAGGCTAAATGGACAGCTGCCTAGGGTTCCACAGGCAAGGGAGCACTTTAACATCATTGGAACCAGTGAAGTCATTCAGTAATCGATAAGTCCCAACCCACTCATCGGTGATTACAGGGATTCTGCATACCATCATTGCTAGATGCAACGGACCTGAAACAAGAATAACATAGTGGAGAAGTGAATGAAGGTGTGGACACCTTTATTTAAGCTGTCAATGCAGCTAATGCTTGGGCTGGTGAAAAAAAAATTCCTGTATAAAATGATAATGGTTGAAAGTCAGAGGGTTTAGAGATTTCATTCAGATGAGCATCCTAAAATGTAGATTCTTATCCATTCCAAACCTTGCCCAAGCCTCTTTGACGGGGAACTCAGGCTGGCAACCTTTTGAGAATAGGTTTACATTATGATCTAAGAATAGTCTTCAAGTCTCTGAGGCCAGGTTTTGGTGGTGGTTCATTTCTGAGGCTGCACACTTATTAAAAATAACTTATTAAAATAACTCATGTTATTATTCACTGCACACTTATTAAAAATAATTCATGTTATTTCAAAAGGACAGAGTACATGTCTACACAGCAAGCTCATTATTTTGAAATAATTTCAAAATAATGGGCTTTTTCCTCCAACTTCTGTATCCCTTATTTCATGAGGAGTAAGGGAAGCCGGAGGAAGGGAGCTCAGACTTCGTGCTGTGTAGACAGCAGTGAAAGCCACAAGCTATTTCGACTTCAGCAACGCTAATGACATTGTGGCTAAAGTTGTGTATCTTAATTTGATTTTATCCCATAGTGTAGACAGTCTTTGAGATGTTAGTTATGTCATAATTATGCCAGAAGGTCATATTTCTACAGGCAGAACCCTAGAGCCACTATCTGGAAAAATAACCACTCTTGCTACTGACATTAAGAATGCTACAATCAACTCCAAAATACACAATTAACCCAGATGTGGGAAAATGCTAAGGAAAGCATATTTCATGCAATCACTTTAGTAACTCAAAATAATAGTGTGAATACAGAGCAACACAGCCTCCCATTGTTTAGCAATAACATTATTTTTTTACTAGAAAACCAAAGAATTGCTTTACCTTTCATGCAGCCTTCAGATTGCCACTGACATGGCCTGACTTGACAAGCCAAACCAGCATAAAAATAAAAGACAGGACTATGCAGCACTTTAAAGACTAACAAGATGGTTTATTAGGCGACGAGCTTTCGTGGGCCAGACCCACTTCCTCAGATCAAATTGTGGAAGAAAATTGGCATGACCATCTATACCAAAGGGATATAATCAAAAAAAGTGAACACATATAAAATTGACAAATCAGATTTTAGAACAAAGGAGGAGTGAAGGGGGGTGAGGTTAGTGTCTATGAGATAATGATATTAGGAGTGATAATCGGGGAAGCTATTTTTGTAATGCGTCTTTGTTAAGGCCCATTCGTAAAGTACTTTTTTTGATTGTATCCCTTTGGTATATATGGTCATGCCAATTTTCTTACACAATCTGATCTGAGGAAGTGGGTCTGGCCCACAAAAGCTCATCAAAAGTGCTGCATAGTCCTGTCTTTTGTTTCAGCAAGATCAGACTTACATGGCTACATCTGTATTACTATTCATCATAAAAATAATCTGCTTTCTTCCTAGCAATAGTGGTTTCTATTTTTGGTTAAGGTGAAATTACTAAGCATATTAAGGAAACTGACTTTTGAAGGGTAAATAAATGTTATTGTGGGAAAAATAATTAAATCTGTGTTTTTTGTGCAGTGTGTCCTTGAGAAAGTATTTGAGGCAATTCAAAAAATTGTTGTTGTTTAGCAAATAACTATTTGATTCATTCATTTTGGGGACAAGAATTTTTTGTGACTAATCTAGACTGAACATGTTAAATGGCCTAAGTAAACTTCATCTGCAGCCCTTGCTTCATAAGGTTCTGTCAAAAATATCCTCATTTTATAATATTTTCTTTGTGCACTGCTTGCTAGACTCTTCAGTGAATGTGTAATGCATGTGTATATGCACAACTCTCAGAAATATTAAAAACAAAATAACAAGTAGTCCTGTGGCACCTCGCGCGCACGCACGCACACACACACACACATACATATTAGATAGATAGATAGATAGATAGATAGATAGATAGATAGATAGATAGATAGATAGATAGATAGTATTATGAGTGAGCTTTCATGGGCAAAACCCACTTCCTCAGATGAACTTGAGTGGTTCACTTAGGCACATATGTGTGTAAGTTCATACTTGTGATTTTTGATCTCTATGCTTTGCTCTAATAAGGCTCATTCAGAACAAGAAAATGGAATAGGGATTTAATTTAGCAGTAATATGAAAATAGAAAGGCTTTGTTAAATTATAGCTAGGAAACCCAAAACATTTCTCAAGTGTAATACAAGAAAAAATGCATAAATAGGAGTCCCCCATGTATAATACTGTTTTCATTTGCTTGGTAAGAATGTACATATTTTTGGAGAAGCTGAAAAGAAAAAAAACTTATAGGCCAGATCCTGAGCTGGCATAAATGGAAATATCTCCACTGAAGTAACTTTTAGAGGAACTGGGGATTATTTTTCAAGGTAAAAACCCACCTTATGCTCAGGTGATGTGTGATGTCAATTTCCATAGCCAACAGTGCACAAAGGAGTGAGGTGGCTAATGCTAAGTCCAACCATCTTTAACTCCTATAGATCAGGTACCCATTTGCAGCTGGATGGACTGGATGCAGCTTTTCTGTGTGAGACTGAGAAAGACTCAAACCTACAGCTTCCAGGCTTGTAGCCAAGCAGCTGAACTACTCAGACATCAGACATCACTGGGGATTAGTTTTACAATCCAAAAATCTGAAAATACAGCTTATTATGAACAGGAATCTTCCCAGAAACAAACTTTGCTGTATGTAGGCCAAATAGTGTCTTTAAACCTGGAAGCATGCTTGTATATATATACACACGCACATGGACAGGGATATCTGATAAAGTAATATAGAAGCAACTTCAATTCGAAATAGCTGCAAGATATTCTGAGTGGGGAACTTGTTAAACACAACAATAGATGGAAAGAAATTTCAGGTTATCCAGATTAATTTTATATCTTGGCAAAGAAATACATAACTTTACAGAAGTATGGCAGTATACATTCTCCTTGGCTGTGTCTAGACTGGCCAATTTTTCTGGAAAATCAGCCACTTTTCCGGAAAAACTTGCCAGCTGTCTACACTGACCGCTTGAATTTCCGCAAAAGCACTGACTTCCTACTGTAAGAAATCAGTGCTTCTTGCAGAAATACTATGCTGCTCCCGTTTAGGCAAAAGTCTTTTTGCGCAAAATTTTTGTGCAAAAGGGCCAGTGTAGACAGCTCAGACTTGTTTTCCACAAAAAAGCCCCGATTGTGAAAATGGCGATCAGGGCTTTTTTGCGGAAAAGCGCGTCTAGATTGGCACCGACGCTTTTCCACAAAAAGTGCTTTTGCGGAAAAGCGTCCATGCCAATCTAGACGCTCTTTTCCGAAAATGCTTTTAATGGAAAACTTTTCTGTTAAAAGCATTTCCGGAAAATCATGCCAGTCTAGACACATCCCTTCAGGGTATGTCTACACTTGCTCCCTATCTCAAGATAGGGATGCAAATGTAGACAACCAAAATTGCTAAGGAAGCCTAGTCCAAACTACCTAGTCCGTGCCGTGTGTAGCCGCGCTGCACGGAGTCTGCACTAGCGGACATTTAAAAATGGCGGCGGCCGGCAACATGCAAATGAAGCCCGGGGAATTCAAATCCCAGGCTTCATTTGCAACTCCGGTTGACTACCTTACCACTGTGCCAAAAGTGTCCATCTGCTATGTACATTGGACAAATGTCTCAGACACTTCGCCAAAGGATCAATGCCCACAAAACAGATATCAGACAGGATCACAAAGAAAAAACAGTTTCTTGCCATTTCAACCAGAAAGGACATTGTCTCAACGACTTGATTACCTGCATTCTGCTTCAAAGGCCTTTTAAGACTTCACTTGAAAGAGAATCCTCTGAACTGTTATTCATGCTTAAATTCGATACTTTACACTCAAGTTTGAATAAAGATGCTAATTATCTTACCCATTACAAAGATAGCTTCCCCAATTATCACTTCCAATATCGTTAGCTCACAGTCATTTACCTCCCGCCCCTCACCCCCCTTCTGTTCTGAAATTTGATTTGTCCTTTTCATATGTGTTCATTTTTCTAATTGTATCCTTTGGTATATATGATTGTGACAATTTTCTTTCACTATTTGATCTGAGGAAGTGGGTCTGGCCCACGAAAGCTCATCACCTATTAAACCATCTTGTTAGTCTTTAAAGTGCTACATAGTCCTGTTTTTTGTTTTATTGTAAGACAAGTAATGAATCCACTATAGCAAATTTTGCAGGAAAAGGCAGAAAAAGTTTTTTAAAAAAAATTCTCATGGAAAATAGCAAGTCTTCAAATACATCAGCAACTCTTTAATGCATCACTTACTGATGTTTCATGTAGGACTCAGTATTTGGAATGGCAAAGAGTATGCTTCTAATGAATGACTCACTGCATCAAAATCACTACACTGTCGCTTGTAGGAGCAGAATGTTCAGAGTCACTAAGAGGACTATACGGCATGCATTTCAGAGCTGCCCTTGATACTACCTGTGAATGCTGATAATGACTTATAAAACCACAGTGCAAAAGGACACTAGCCAAAAGCAATAGCAGCACTGCCTGGGATCCACAAAAAACTACAATTGCAGTAGAAGACTAGAATACCACTTTCCTTTCTCCCTCACTTCAGTGAGAAGCTTGATTTATAAAGCAGCGGTGGGGAAAATTTTGAAAATATGTTGTATACTTTCTTATACAAATTAGGTACCAGGGCAGTAATGCTAATGCCACATTACTTCATTCAAATGCGACTGTTCTTTAACAAGAAGATTTTGTATTTAGTAACAGTTTTCTGCAGTTCTAAGGATAGCAGCTACCACTGGCAGCTCAAAAGAAGAAAAACCAAAAAGAGAACACTTACTAGATAGCACAGCTGGAGGAATTAGACCTCACCTAGAATATAGTCTGTACTTACAGTATTAACCTGAGAAATGGTACATGTTCCCAAAGGCAAAGTGCTATTCTGTAACAAATATCAACAATAACCACAAATTAAATTTTTTACCACGGCACTGACTCAGGCCAATTCATAACAGTGGCTAACACTAAAGAACACTGAGGGTATGTCTACACTACCCCGCTAGTTCGAACTAGCGGGGTAATGTAGGCATACCGCACTTGCAAATGAAGCCCGGGATTTGAATTTCCCGGGCTTCATTTGCATAAGCGGGGGTTCCACGAGGTGTACCGGTAGTTCAGAATAGGAATCCTAGTCCGAACTACCTAGTTCGAGCCCCGTGTAGCCGCGCTGCACGGGGTTCGAACCAGCGGGGTTTTAAAAATGGCGGCTCCCCGCTTATGCAAATGAAGCCCGGGAAATTCAAATCCCGGGCTTCATTTGCAAGTGCG